AAGAGCTGAATGTCCAATAGCTAGCAAGAGAAGGGGTAGGCGGGGCTGACGTGCAGAGAGAATAAGTAGGAGAAGAGTAGAAAAGGGAGGAAGAGGAAAGGGGGAGGAGAGGAGGACACCAGGGCCCGGCCACTCCACTCCACCATGAACCATGGTGTAAGAAGTAAAAAAAAAAAAAAGATAAATAGAACAGAGGAAGATAAAAACCCCAGAGGCAAAAAGTGGATGGGATAATTTAAGTTAACAAAAGCTGGCTATAATCCAAGCCAATGTCAGGCATTCATAAGAAAGACTAAGTCTCTGTGTATTTACTTGGGAGCTGCCCTCCCAAAAGTAAAGAGTGCAAAAACCATCTACATGTGTTCACTGAACAAAGAAGTGAAGACGTGAACTTCTTTCCTTGTCTCTGTGTGGGGGGAGGGCTAGAACTTTCTTGCATCTTCCCCCCCCCCCCCCACCCTCCCAACCCCTTGCCCACACTCTACCCTTTGTCCTTCTGATATGCTGTGGTGCTCTGTGGATATTCCTCATGTGTGATGTATAATACACCCAGGTGATTGACCAGTCTCCTCTTCATATGATGCAGGCTAGTATCACCATTTCTGTCAACATCTGTCTGCTGTATGGTTATTCTCTTGGTTACAGGGTTGTGATTTGGTAAATCCCACAAGAAGACCTAGCAGTCTACATTATAATGATTGATTGGAAACCTTTTGTTTCTTTTTTTTTTTTTTTGAGACAGGGTTTCTCTGCGTAACTTTGTAGATCAGGCTGGCCTCAGTCTCACAGAGACTTGCCTGTCTCTGCCTCCTGAGTGGTGGGACAAAAGGTGTGTACGGTTAAGAGTGCTGACTGTTCTTCCAGAGGACCCTGGCTGATTGGAATCATTTTAAGGGTCAGGATAAAACAGAGAATCTTGCGCAAATAATGGGCTCTGGTGAGGGAGTGCTTCTGGTAGACTGGAGGGCGCATCTGCTAGAGTGGAACGCACTTTCATTCCAGAAGGTACGAGGTAGGGGTTAGCCTCTCACCAAAACGCTGCCACACTTTCAGGACCCAGACCCATCTTCCAGCAGACGTAGAACTGGTTCTCTGTCCCAGGGTTAGCTTTGGCAGTCACAGTGATTCCTATTGGTGTCACGAGCCCTCATTTCCTCCAGCTGCAGGCAATTTCTGTATTGTCCCCAAAACACTAGACTTCTGTGTCCTGTCTACATGGCATTTGGAATTGTGGGTTGAAAGCCCCAGACCTGCTTAGGCATTTTCACCTCGCTGGCATTAGTGGATGCACTATGACCCCCAAATCTATCACACTTAGCTTGAGATTCATTTCTGTCCATGTCCTGCATATGTTTTCTTTTTCATTTCACAATCTATGACATTTCAGCTTTACCACTTCATTATCAGGGTCATTAGGGTCAGAACATGGGCTCTGGCAACCCTAGTAACCTAGGCTTGGACGCTCAATCCTAATTAGCCAATTAAAGACATGACTAAGAGCAAAAAAAAATAAGAAAGAAAAAAGAAAGAAAGGAAGGAAGGAAGAAAGGAAGAAAGAAAGAAAGAAAAAAGAAAGAAAGAAAGAAAAAAGAAAGAAAGAAAGAAGAGCTTTATTCAAAGTGGTCAGATCATGGTGGAGAACAGAGGCCCCTGCATCCCCCCAGGCCCTGTTGGGGGGGGTTCATTTTAAAGAGAGGCAAAAGTGAGCACAGTCTAGCAGTCCTAATGTGGTGTGTAGCAGCCATTATTGGCCCACCATTGTCCCTGCGCCAGTCTCTCAACAAGATAATCTGGCAAGCTGTTAGAATAGTGAGAAGACTCTTTCCCAGAGTCAAGCTCTCTTTCTATCTGGCACTAGGCTCCTGCTTTCTCTTTTTCTCAGCAAGAGATTCTCAGCAAAATCTGAGGGAAGCATTGCTCTACTAGTCTGCTAGCCAGAGGGGCATGGATGTCTCACCCAGATATCTTCATTACTGTCACATGGTTACAGCCTGGCCTGTGAAGGACTGTCTTGAAGAGTTACCTAGCATTTATTACTTTGTTTTCAAAGAAAACTTTTGTGTTGCAACTGATTTCCAAAGAAACCCAGCCCAGTGTGAACCCCGAATACTTTGTTCTCACCAATCCAAAGCTCCATGGCGGAAAAGGCGGTATGAGGCAAACCCATGGCTAGCAATCAGCAAATAAGAAGACAGGCAATTGGCAAGTCCACCCACACCAGCATGGAGGCGGAAAACAGCAGCCAACAGAATCCTTCAAGGACACTTTGGGGCAGTCTGGGAAGCTCAGCATAGCTGTCATTAACTGGGAGGCTGCAAGAGCCGAGGGTGGTTCAGGGACTCAGCAATCAGCAACTGGGTGGCTCGGTTCCCACAAAAACATCATGCTGATCATACATCCTGAAATGAAGGACCATGAGTGGCTGGGAGTGGCAAGAGCCCTTAACCAAGCAGCTCACAATACCCGAATCAGTGCGAGGGGCAGCAGGTCAGAGGCAATCTCGCACAGACCTTCCTTAGAAAGGAAGAAATAACATTAGTATTTTGCTGGCTTCTCTGTGAAGACATGACTTATGTACTGTGGTTTAAAAAAGAAAAGAAGGGGATAATTTAGAATTTCATGTCCCTTTTGCAGCTATGCAAGTTATAAATTATAGTGTTACAAAATGCAGCCGCTTTAGTTCCCAGTGGGTCCTGTTCTTTGTGTGTGTATTTATCCAATTGTCTGATTCGCTTAAGTTTCTAACTACAGGGTCTTGTTCCGGGTTTTCTAAATGAATAGTTCTAAAAAAGTCAAAGCAACAATCAATTTTTTAAAACCCAGATTTGCTGTGCTCGGAGTCATATGAGGATAGTTACATGATTATCCAAAACTGCTCCGACCTGGAGACAAAAGGCCCTGGCAACGCCCTCTAGCAACCACAATTGTGATTTTTCTTTGCTTTGAGTGGTTCTCCATCCTTCACTGGGGTCGGGGCTCAGCCTGATATTGATCTCCTGGGCCTTGTTCAAAGTGAGATGACAGGTCTGTTTGGGATGATAAGTAGATAAGGATTATAAATTCACCTTGAGAATAAATAAAAATAGCTCTCTGGCATTTTTTTTACAAGAAAGAGAAGTTAGACTACTTCATGGTAAGCAATCTTCTCCCCTTCTCAGCTATTACATTAGTCTGCAAGCCTCAGAAACAGCCTTTTTATTGGATTTTAATAAATTTTAAGCCACTAAAAGACCTGTAGATCCTTTCTTAAGCATCTCACCCAATCTGTACCAAGAATCTTTACATCAGATTTCTCTCGTATTACATGTTTTATTGTCTGTGTGAGTGAAGCACACATGTAGAGATTAGAGGAGGCCACTGTCTTCTTCCACCCCCTGGGTCCTGGGAGTTTAACAAGGGTCATCATGCTTGGTGGGGTGGCTATTACCTTTACCTCACCACTCCATCTCACCACCTCCAAACTGAAGACTAATTTCTCTTCTTCTTTTTCTTCTTCTTCAAAAAAAGAGGTCATACAACCCCATTCCAACCCCATTCTTGCAAAATAATGTCCTTCGCTTCATCCAGATCCCAGTTATGGCCTACTTTTCACTTGTAAAATAAAAACTGCTAAATACATTTGATTTAACCTTACAGACTATGATGCAGCATGAAAAATGCCTCCGAATCTGGGCTGCAGTTAAGACAAATTATTAACAAACGGGGGATAATTTTATCACCTCTTTGCTGCTCAGTCATCACACTGTGTTTGTTTGCCTGTGTCGGGGTCAATCTGGACTGTCAGCCTTATGAGGTTTAAAATCACCATGGAAACGAGCCTCTGTGTGGGATGGTGTAGATAGGTGAAACAAAGTAGGAAACCGTGCCATCAACCTGGGCAGCGCCATTCCATGGGCTGGGTTCAGAGCTCAATAAACAAGGTAAAAGCGACCTGAGCACACACAGCCGTCATCCTCTGCTCTCTGAGGATGGAATGAACCCAGCTGCCTCAAAGTCCAGCTGCCATCACCCCACCTCCATCCCCAGTGACCGGCCCTACCCTCCGACTATGAGCTACAATAAATCTTCCCTGCCCTAAATTGATTCTGTCAAGTATTTTGCTGTGGCAACATCACAAGTTGTACCTCTCTCCAGCTTCTATGTGCTCATATTTATTGAATGTCTCTCATGTTACTGATACTTGCCAGGGTCTTGAGACATCCCCTTGCCTCTCGCAGCTAATGTAGCAGTGAACAGAGAGAAGTGGACACAGAGAGAGAAGCAAGCATGGAAGGGGTTACTTTCTGATATATGCTTTAATCATGGGAGAACAGAATATTCCAGAAATACAAAGAAAGGATATCACAGCGCATCAATCAAAGGCAGCCTCTCAAGTCTTACGTGTTATGGGAACTAGAATTGGCTCACCTGTTGTCACGTGCCAGAACTCAACAACAAAAATAATTGTCCTCCTAACTTGTGATTTTTTTAAAACCCTATTAAAAATAAACAGAAGGTTAGGTTTACAGGGAGACCTCTCCGCTATATCTTTACAGGTCTTGTGAGTGTGTAGTTATTTTAAAGTAAGTTTTTAAAGAATGTCTCCAGAAAGTTAATATTGAAGGAGTGTGACTTTCCCTATGGGGGTGTGACTTTCATGTACTTGTGTCCCTCAGTCACATAATAAGTAAGGGCCCTGATCAAGGTGCTTAGAAGTCGTTTTAATGCTCACTGTCTCTATATTCCTTCCAGTGAATTTTCTCCAGATCCAATGGGGTTATATCCACATGGGTTCACACCCCACTTCTGGTACCAATGGATGTCCCAGTTCCTTTTCCGTTGCTGTAATAAAACACTGACCAGGAACAGCTGAAAGAGGAAAGGTTTGGTTCTTACCTTGCAGATTACAGTGAATATTTAAAGGCAGCCAAGGCAAAAATTTGAAGCCCAGACTGTAGAAGAATGCTACTTACTGTCATGTCTCCCCTGACTTGCTCAAATAGTTTTCTTGTACAACCCAGGACAACCTGCTCAGGAGCAGCATGGCACACAATGGTCTGGACCCTCCTCTGTCAACCAACAATCAAGAAGATAATCCACAGACACCCCCACAGGCCAATGTGATGAAGGTAATTCCTCAATTAAGATTCTCTCTATGTTGAATAGGGTTGTTTTGGCTATCCTGGGTCTTTTGTTTTTCCATATAAAGTTTATTATTGTTCTTTCAAGATCTGTGAAGAATTGTGCTGGGATTTTAATGGGGATTGCATTGAATCTGTAGATTGCTTTTGGCAAGATTGCCATTTTTACTACCATGATCCTACCTATCCAAGAGTATGGGAGATCTTTCCATTTTCTTGTGTCTTCTTTAATTGCTTTCTTTAAAGACTCAAAGTTCTTGAGATACAGGTCTTTCACTTGTTTGGTTAGTGTTACCCCAAGGTATTTTATTTTGTTTGTGGCAATTGTAAAGGATGATGTTTCTCTGATTTCTTGCTCGGCCCTTTTATCCTGTGTATATAATAGGGCTACTGATTTTCTTGAGTTGATCTTGTATCCTGTCACTTTGCTGGAATATTTATCAGCTGTAGGAGTTCCCTGGTAGAGTTTTTTTGGGTCACTTATGTAAACTATCATATCATCTGCAAATAGTGAAAGTTTGACCTCTTCCTTCCCAATTTGTATTCCCTTGATCTCCTTTGGTTGTCTTATTGCTCTGGCTAGAACTTCAAGTACAATATTGAAGAGGTATGGAGAGAGTGGGCAGCCTTGTCTTGTTCCTGATTTTAGAGGAATTGCTTTGAGTTTCTCTCCATTTAGTTTGATGTTGACTGTTGGTTTGCTGTATATAGCTCTTAATATGTTTAGGTATGTTCCTGTAATCCCTGATCTCTCCAAGACCTTTATCATGAAGGGGTGTTCCCACTGCCAGAAAGTCTGGGAAACAGAACCTTCAACCAATGACTGATGGAAGCAGAGGCAGACACCCACAACTAAACACTGATCTGGACTCAAGGAACCCAGTGACAGAGAGGGAGGACTGATGAGCATAGAGGTCAAGTCTTGAACCCCAGACTGATGGCTGGAAATCCAGCATGGGACTGATTCAGACAACCTGAATGTGGGTGTCAGGGAGGAGGCCTAGACAATCTATGCGGCCTTGGGTAGTAAATCAGTATTTATCCCTGGCATACAAATAGAATTTGGGAGCCCATCCTACAAAGAGAGATGCACTCTCAGCCTGGATTCTTGAGGGGAGGGCATAGGCCCTGCCCTGGATGAAATGACAGGCTATGGACAACCCCCATGGAGGGCTTTACCCTCCCTGGGGAAAGGAATGGGAATTGGGGGAAGGGAAGGGAGAAGGAGCTGGGATTGACATATGAAGCAACCTTGTTTCTAATTTAAATTTAAAAATAAATAAGACCAAAAAAAAAGATTCTCTCCTCCTAGGTATGTCTAGGTTTGTACTATGTTGACAAAAGCTATGACAACATTCTTAGTCACTTTAACATGGGCCCTTCCTATTAATTTTGTGCATGGTGTCAAAATTATATAATTGAGGTCTGCTGTCTTCAAATGAGCTTCTTATATTTTAAGAAATGATGGTCTGATTGGGAGGTTTCCACAGAAGGAGGTTTGGGTTGAGAACTGCATAAAGGAAGAACTCAGAAAAGTTGAGTTTGAAATTAGCTATGCAAAGGCATATTGTATGTTTTTATTGATCTAATTATTTCCCCTATTCTCCATCTCTCCTCTCCTCTCCCCTTCCACCCTCCTCCCTGCCCCCATGCTCCCAATTTACTTGGGCTATCTTGTCTTTTTCCCCTTTCTAGGTGAATCCATGAATGTCTTTCTTAGTGTCCTCTTTGTTACCTAGGTTCCCTGGGGTTGTGGCTTGCAGGCTGACTGTCCTTTGCTTTATGTCTAATATCCACGTATGCGTGAGTACATATTATATTTGTTTTCTGGGTCTGGGTTACCTCACTCAGGATGTTTTTTCTAGTTCTGTCCATTTGCCTACAAATTTCAAGATATCATTTTTTTCACTGCTGAGTAGTACTCCACTGTGTAAATGTACCACATTTTCCTTATCTATTCTTCGATTGAGGGGCATCTAGGTTGTTTTCAGGTTCTGGCTATTACAAATAATGCTGCTATGAACATAGTTGATCAAATGTCCTTGTGGTGTGAGTGTCTACTACTGTAGACAGGAATATAAAAACAACTTTCTATGAGCCAAAAAATTTGTGGGAATTTGTTACGGCATCACACAAAACTGATATATTAACTTATATATTGCATTTGAAAAGATATTTTTGTATTTTTTAATTAAATGTGAATATTTCATGAGTGTGTGTGTGTGTGTGTGTGTGCACGCGCGCACGAGTGTGTGCAGGTACTCTAGTAGGCCAAAAGCACCAAATCCTCAGGGGGTAGAGTTATAGGCAATTGTGAGCTGCCTAGAATGGATGCTGGGAATTTAACTCTGATCATTGGAAGTGCGTACCCTAACCACCGTGCTACTTCTCCAGCTCCAACATGTCTAGTGTTTAAGGACACATACTGGAAAAGACCATTAAGACATATACAGAAATAGGACAGACAGAAAAGAGGATTTTTGGATGGTAAACTGTACAGTCTCCCATATTTATAAACAGGAAGAGAAAAATTGTCCTAAATGGAGCAGTGACTGCCCTGTAAGCAATAGCACAGGAGTGCAGTTGGAAAAACTCAAATAGGACCAGTTCTCTAACATGGAAATTGTAGGTCTATTTCCCAGGAAATTTGCATAGTTCTTATGAAATACAGAGTTTTTGCAAAGTGTGAGTGCAAACATTCCATCCATCTCATGTGTACCCCAAGGGCAGGGTACCCTACCTAAGATCTGGGTGTCACAAGTGGAAAATCACCTGATAACCATCTGATTTGTCATTGTTACTAACATGCATTAAGGAGAAAATGTTGCTATCAACATTGAGAAACATGGTGAATAAAATAACTCACTGCTCCTTAATTCTTCCTTGAGAATTAGAGTACACAAAATGTGCTGTGATGGCTTTAGGTCTTAGCTTGAAGGGAGAATGAGGTTGATCACGCATCTTACAGATTTATTCTTGTCACAGTTTGACTTACGATAGAATTTGTAAATCTTTGACAAATTAATCTCTGCTTCAAAAACTGAGGTATTAGGCTGAGTCAATGGACTAAGTGCATTTTCACTTTTAGTGATTCAGGTTTATGTTTTCTTCATGCAAAACAGAATTAAATGATGCCATATATAGTCCTTCAATGAAATATTCTAAGAAAATCTGAGTGAGTAGAACACTCTTGATGAAGTCAGGCTGTCTCACTGAGGTGAAGGGAGATGAACACCAGGTTTGTCCACATGTTTAAGAGCCAAGTCTTCTTTCAGGAACTGTGCCAGTTAGGAGGCAGGAGATTCTCAGGCATTCACAGCTGCAAAGCAACCCAGTCCAGTCAGAAACAATGCTGTCTGTGGCTGACTGGACCCTGCAAGGATTTCAAGTTATTTTTTTCCTTTTGCTTCTTTTCCACCACCTCACCTCTTGTCTTTCTTTCTCAAAAAAAGAAAAGAAACAAAAATAGAAAGAAAAACCTTGTTATCACAAATGAGGCAAGCCCATAGCATCCTCCAAAAGAGACAGGGTATACTGAGCCAATTCAAAGGTGGGTGAACAGCAGCTGTGGTCCTGCCAGAGCGAGAGTTCAGCGGCGGCCCCAGAACTGCCAAGCATCGGCAGACTTTCATTTACGCTTCCCCATCAACAGTGAAAAAGTGTAGGCTTAGGAAAAAAAGTATTTGCTGCGATTTTAGCAACTAAGCCTGTGTGGCAACATGGACACCAGAGAAGAAAAGGAAAAGATCTACAGAAATGACACTTTTCAGTGTTTAATTTTTTTTAAACAGACAGATGTGAAACAGATTGATCTTTTATTACTTCTGAATTGAACAGCTACCTACCTCTTTTTAAGGCTTCAACTATATTGTGGGCTTTAATAAAAATGCTTTTAGGAGGTACCACGGTAACTTAGGCAATGACCCCAGACAGGCTGTTCCATGGGTTGGACCATGGACCATAAAACTCTGCAGCCTTACCAATCTGGCATCAGGAAGGACTCAGACACAGTGTGTTTACTTTATTTGCTAAACACTATTAGAAAAATAGGGATGTTCTAATGAAATATTAAGTATGTTTTAATGAAATATTACGTATGAAGACAAGGAAAATAAAAATGTGTCTGTGTGTCTGTGTGGGCCTGTCTGTCTCTGTGTCTGTCATGTGTGTATGTCTGTCTGTCAACCTATGTCTGTGTGTTTCTGTCTATGTGTGTGCATGTCTATATGTGTGTCTCTGTGTGTAGCATTCATTGGAAGTATTTTCTAAAGTGTGAAAAGAAAGTTTAGGGTTTAATCAGATATGAAATAATTTATAATTCTATGGACAATGTTCACATTTAAAGAAAGATTTAGTAGCCTAAAATTATACTGTCTTCTTGGTGATAAGAATTTATTTCAAGGTCTGGAAAAGTGTTTATAATAAAGTTAGAAGGGACAGAACTTATTAAACAGAGGCTATTAAAGTCACATGAATCCAATTTATAGGAGCAGTCGGTGTCATATGATATCACGTGATTTCAATGCATTGAAAACAACAGGTTTTATGTAACATCATTGGAGTCCAGCTTAATTACATGCCATGTTCTACATGACTTCAAGTACTGACTTGACTGCTGTAGCAAATAAATGGAGAAGAGACAAATGGACGTGAAATGATGGGAATTGGTGGTCTGGTCTCTCAGATGGAGAGATTGCAGCTCCCTGGAACCCGGCATGTTTATCATGTAGAGTTGCGCATGTCAGGTAAGGCTATTGCTCACAGCTGAGCAGAACGTGGGGCTACACGGATGAGCAAGGAGGCTGTGTTATTCTATACAGCTGATCCAGGAGGCAGGTTTAGCTCATCTCACTAGGACCAGTCTCAGTAGGAGAGCAGTCTTCAGGTTGTAAACATTTAGGGAGGAAGCTATGATGGACATTATCTGCACACACTGTCAACTTTCATTCTCAGACCCAAGGAAGGCTTTGCCATCCCTCTGAGCCTTTGCCAGGGCAGGTTTTGACATTGTCACAGGTTTGAGGCATTGGACTCCTTGACATGGTTGTGCCCATAACTTTACTCACTCCCTGCAAGTACATGTACAAGTGTGCCTAGTCAAAAGACAGGAATAATGTGGATGTTAGTTATCTTGAATTTCATAATTGTATATTATCTTTACGCACTTTTCTGTTTTGTTTGATCTACAGATTTATATTACGTGCATGTCTTTGCCTACTCGCCCTCACTGTTGATGGCAAGTCCATTGTCATGTTGTCACAGCATCCATCACTGATATTAGAACTGGATTCTTCAGGTTACCAATGCAGAATGAAGACCGGCATCTCTCCAGGAGACATTCAGGCCTCCAGTGCTAAACTAGGACCTCTGAGACAGCCAGTCTCGTGGACTGGACAACTCCCAGATTCTCAGCTACTCTATTGTGAGACGGGCATTGTTGCACTCCCTAGACCATATCCTGTAAGCCAAGTTAATATATTAGCAAATCCCATCTAGAGAGATGCTACTTTAGGGAACCATATCTGGTTTGAGATGGTAACACAAGAATGTGGCTAGAATTGTGAGGTTTTCTGTGAGCACTAAGAGGAACCTGGCAAAGCGTCTAAGAAGAAATGTTTCTGTAAGTAGTGTTGCTAAAAGAGACTGTCTTGCAAGTAAAGTTTGTGGAAAGAAGTTTTGCTGTCATTTTTTCTGATGCTCTATAGCTTTACTCTGGCTTCTAGAATTCTGTGAGTTACAAAGGGCAGGACATCATGACTTGTTGAATGCTGATTGCTTCACCTTTCTCTGACCATTACTGGAAATAAATTAAGATAAAACTGCACAAAAAGGGTTATATCTCTGTTGTATTAGCTTCCATTTGCCCATCCATAAAGGAAGGCGGTATCAGCCCTTTTTAAAACACACTTCACGAGAGATTATGAGACTCACCCATGCCATGGTCAGTCTCTGTCATTAAGTATAAATGATCTCGTGATGGGAAAAGTCCAGGCTCTATTACATTAGTCTTAATTTGAGTGTTTATTTTTAGACAGCTAATTTGCTTTCACATTCCCTACCTTAGAAGCACAGCCAACTGCTGGTGTCTCGGTTTGCCCTGTCCAGGGGTCATTGGACACTCTCCTGTTGGAGCCACAAAGCAATGAAGACAGCTAGATTAAAAAAGAAATCTCTCCATATATTTGTGATTAACTGGCGAGTATAATAAGGAGTCACGAGGAAGTAGAAATAAACAGAAAAGGTTAACAAGGTAGGACATAGGGGTGATTATTTGCACTGCGGGAAGAAGACAGACAGCACACAAGTCTGCCATCATGTATTAGCCCGTTTGATCAATAAGTAATGGGGCAAAGGATCTCTGCCTTAAGATTTACACATTTCACACTCTTCTGGCTCTGACCTTTGTACTTGGGCTCAAATCCACGCTAAAGAGCAAACCTATCAATTATGGAAAAGAAGAGGAGGTTCAAAGTAGTTATGTTAGGAATGAGTAGCCGCTACATTTCCCGAGGAGGCAGATCTTCCTAATGATGTCTATTTCCAGCTTTAAGAGGAGCATACGCACATATAATTGTATGAACACATAATTGTACGTATTAAATTAAATATATATATATATATTCCTACAGAATTCCTGACAACTTTCTTACTTCACTGATCACCAGGAAGATTTTCTTAAAGGAAGCTCTTTTGTCTAAAGGTTCGGAGAGTCGAATACTGGGGTGAAAGAAGCATTGATGTAGAACATGGTTAATGTCAGAAGATAAAAGTTAGGAGGATTATGCCTTTGAGGGAAAATACTGGGCAAACGACAGACAGTCTGAATGGAAATATGTTGTCTCATTGTCAAAGATGCCAATCAGGAAAGTGTCATTAACTCCAGCAAGGTCTGGGGAGGCAATTGAGTACACCTGTGGAATCTGAGTGATGCGCAGAGTGATTTTTATTTTCTTAGAAAATAAAGGAAAGAAACTGAAGGTAGGAGAGATGGCTGAGAGAGTAATGGCACTTCCTGCCAAGGCTGATGACCTGAGTTTAACCCTCATAACCCACAGAGTAAGACATAACTGATGCTCACAGTTGTCCTCTGACTATGGCACTAACTCTGGCAGCTGCACAAGCTCTCATACTCACAAACACAATAAATCAATGTTTTTTTCTTTTTTTTAAAGGAAACTGAATTTTATCCATATTTGCTAACAGGGAATCCAAGACACTAAGGGAAGAATGATAAAAAAAAACAGAGCCATCAGGCTATACATTATTCCAGAAAAATACAAGGTCTCAAATTATCCAACCACTCACCTAATAGAGTCTAGAACTTCTACTTATTAGGAGGGTGTATATGTAAAGACTGTGATTCTACTAAACAATCTCCCTCTATTTATAACAACACTGCTTCCTCCCCCCAGCATTTAATTGGCCAAATGTCTTTTTACACATAGGATATCTTTTTATCCCTTGCCATTAAAAAAATAAAAAAAGTTATGATCATTCTATATAGCTGAGGCTGGTCCCAACCTCTCAATCCTGCTTCAGCTTCCTTCTGGTTTTAAGGTGCGTACCACCACTGAATCTACATAAACCCTCAGAGGGCCATTTTCTTTCAAACCACCTCATTACCTATCTTCTAAAAGAAAATCTAATGTATGTAGTGAAAAGGTGGTGAATGGTATGGCTCTGTCAGGGTGGTTGTACACAGACATACCTAGACCACTAGAAAAATTTGCCATGGCAGGTGTACCACAAATAGAACCAAGGCGCTGTATCTAGGTAACCTTGTAATGTTTCTCTCTCTCTCTCTCTCTCTCTCTCTCTCTCTCTCTCTCTGTGTCTTCCCAATGGCCATAAATGACTCTGATAATGATCTGATAATGAAATAATAAATTACTTCAACCTAAAATTTCTCCTTTAATAAATGTAGACTTGCAGGTTATCCTTTTTCTGAGGAATACCTGCTTGTGGTTCTTTACATACCCAGGCTTTCTTACTATGTCATTAGCATGGATAAATTAATCAGATTTCAAGCTCCTTAAGGGCAGGGTTTATATCCTTTCTTTATTCTTGAAAGTATCTTGTACTCCTTCTGGCTGCTTAATAAAAATCCACCACTCTGAATTCAGTCCAGTGCAATTTCAATTTCTGCTCTCATTAAGTGTCCCCTATAAATCAATTTAAGCAGTTCTAGTAATAGCAGTTGCCCCAAGGTTTCTTCTCTGTCTCTTTATTCTAAGACAGTTCTTCACAGTCCCCAACAGTAGGGGAGCAGAGTTTATGGAGCTGGAAAATATTTGTTTCGTTTTACTACAAGGTGGCTGAATGAAATGATGGAGAAGTCACTCTATCCAGTTTACCTCAGAACTTCTAAGACAGCCATCTGAAGGCAGCGTCTGTGTCATGGGTCATAAGCTTCTGTTCACTTAGGAGACCTGAGTCTAGAACTGTAAAGCACCTTGCAAATGGTGCTGATCCTACCCAGAATTCCTGTATCTTAAGCCTCATCTGCTGCTTGGAAACCCAGGCCCAGGGGAAAGCGATTGTCTTGTTACACAAAACTGACCTTTGGATTCTAGACCTAGAAGTCTTTTCTAAAGTCCCAGCTCATCTTGCAGGTTTTTCAAGTCCTCCCTCGGCCCCATTGTATGCCTGTCAAGAGCACTTGTCTTCCTTCCTCCAGCAGCTATGACAAACATGAACTGTCATTTGCAGATTAAGCTTTTAAATTGTTATGTCTTAGCTAAGCGCCCTGCTGAGCTATGGATGTAAATTGCGTTGAGACACACTGTCCACACATCTCTGTGAGCTTGGATCACATAAGTCAGAATACAGAATACAGGTTCAGTAACACACACCCGAGCCACTCTGTTCCTATGAGTAAAGATGGAATTATTTAAGCTCCGGTAGGATCTACTGGAAACTACTGATACAATGATGCCGTTCAATGGCCAATATGTGATGTCAGGGTTTGCACAGACCCCGAGCAGAGCTTTTGGGAGCTGCCCTGCAGATCACATCTGGGTCCGCTTGCCTGTTCCATCTCCCTCCTTTCTCTTCTTCCCTTACCTTGGAATGCATTGACCTTGTCCCTCTTGCTGCAATCCTCACTGCATTCCCAAGTAGCTCTTGTGTCTTCTAATGTCAAGCTACAGAAAGTATCCATGATTATCTACATGATAGTGTCTCCCTGAGAGGCACTTGACACTCAGCGCATCAACATGTGGGTTGATGTTACCGTTACTGTGTGTCAACTTGATTAGGTTAAGTAAGAGATGCCCAGACGTCTGGTAGTGTCATTGCCCAGACGTCTGATAGAGTGCATTTTATAACTGTGTGTGCAGATTGCACATGCCTTTAATCACAGCACTGGGGAGTGGGGGCAGATGGGTCTCTGTGAGTTCGAGGCCAGCCTGGTCTACAAAAGTGGGTACCAGGACAGCCTGGGGCTGTTACACAGAAAAAAGCCTGTCTTAAGAAAAAAACAAGCAAAGAAAAAAATTGAAATGATCCCTAGGTTAATGTTGAGTGAGTGAGCTTCAGGGAATTTGGTTCACAGTCACTTGGCTTCATTTTCCTTGGCCTGTATGGGGAGATAGAACATCACGGTGAACAAAAACCTGTGGAAGAAAATTGCTCACCTCATGGTGGCCAGAATGGAGAGAGACAGAAAGAGTGTGAGAGAGAAGCATTACAAGTTACCCTCTTCAAGGGACCCTTTGACCTACTTTCTCCAAGTAGGCTTACCTCATAAATTTAATCACTTCCAAATAATCTGCCAAACTATTAGATTGATTGATAAAATCAGGTCCTTTGTCTCACTGAGGTCCAAACTTCCAATGTAGAAGTTTTGAAGGGACACCTGAGAATCGCTCCATAACACTAAGCTATAAGGTCTGTCATTTCTGTTATGCCCACAGACGTCAGAACTCCACTGGACTCCAGGACCCTGCAGTTCTCAGGTCTTTAGCCTTAACTGGGAGTTATACCATCAGCTCTCCTGGCTTCCAGATCATTGGACATAGACTGAATCTCACTGTTAACAGATACACCTTAGTTCTTGGGCCTGCAGAAAACATGTGGGAACTCTTGGCCACCATAGTCATTGGAGCCTGTTTCCACAACAGATCTTTTTATGGGTTCTCGACACATCCTGTCAGTGTGTTTTTGTCTTTGTCCTTCCTTCCTGAGCAGACTCTTCTGGAATTTTGGCACTCTTCAACATAAACTGACGTCTTACAGAATAAGTTGCATATCTCTTCAGAGATGGCCTCATATGTCCTCCATGACATCTTAGCTCCTCAAGGCATGGGACCTCCCCAAGAGGTGCTCTGTAATTCACTTTCTTTTAAGGAAACAGGAAGCTATGGCTGAGATCCATTTTTGGTCCACATAGTTATTGCAGCCCTTTCCCAGTGAAACATCCTTCACTTCTCCTACATTCCCATGTGTATAGCACATCTCTGGCTGGAAATGCTTCCGTTTCCATTACACTGAGTGCTACACGTCTGAGCATCTCCCATTCTGCTGTAAGCTCATGCCCTCCCCCCTTTAACTCTGTATGCAGGCCCAGAATCTTGGGCTACAGCACGGTAAGATATACCAGGTTTATCTGCCACCGCCAGAGAAGCTCAGGGATACTCATTTCATAGCTGGTGCCAGGGGGATAACTTGTTTATAAATATTGATGGGGCCTGATGCTCTATGTTCCTGAGTCCTTAAAAAAGAAAGTGCATAACTACCCTCTAGGATTTTTTTTTTATTTTGTAGTGATTTCATGAAATTAATGCAACAAATTCCCTTTAGTAGTACTTATACAGACACTGTAAAGAATAAAGAAAAATGTCCAAAAAGACCTCAAGAAGCATGCAGCGAGAGAAGAAACTTAAGGAATTATAATTCAGTGTTTCCTCTATCATAAGGTATGACACATGCCGGCTTCCTACCCTCCTGTCCTTTACACAAGAGGGTTCACAGCGCTGTCTCCAGTCTTGAGTCCTGTCCCAGTGTGGGGCAGGTGCAGTGGGGGTGCCTGCTGCCTGTGCCCTTGGGAGACTGAGGCAGGGAAATCCCACGAGGTTTTGTCCTTCTTCATAGTGAGTTTCAGACCAATTTAGATGGTAGTGAGTGAAGCCTGCCCTCAGAAGAAAGAAGGGAGGGAGGGAGAGAGACAGGAAGTAGGGAGAGAGAGAGAGGGGAGCAGGAGAGGGAAAGAGGTGAAGAGAGGGAGAATACAAATCCTATTAGTCTTTGGGATCAGTCATGTTACATGCAATGTTTTTCTTCTCTATGATGTCATATTCCAACACATTTGAAAGGTATGTGTATGTAATCTCAGCTAATTGGCAGTTATCTCCCAGAATCTAGAAGTGGCTGTATGTATGTCTTTTCTGAGTACTAGTACCTGACATTGCGTAAGTTCTCTAGCTGTTTGTTTGTACCAGTTCCTCTGTCCACCACACTGGAATATAACTTTGTCAATGTGAAGATGCTGGCCATTTGATGTCTGGCTGCAAACGTATTGTCTAGACAAGTAGAACATCATGAAGAAGTATTGTCTATGAAAGACAACAATGGTACATTGAAAGACTTATTAAAACAGATCCATCCTATGAATGAATGAAGGAAGGTCGTGTGATTATCAGATTAGATGCACACACATCATTAATATTTAACCATCACTCATAGGAGACTTCCTGGAAGTTAAGAAAGAAAACACTGGCATAGGCAACCTGGAGGAGTGTTGTGCCCAAACTCTGATCCTCAAATCACCAAGAGACCCGATCTGATGCAAAAGCAAAGAGTCTTTAATTTTATGAGTTAACTCGGTTCCTCTGTCCATCTGACACTGCAGGTGAAGCAGGTGGGGACCAGGCAGGGACCTCAAACAGAAGTGCGGCTGGGAATATATTGGGGTAGAGAGGGGAGTGTCTGGGGTCTGCCAGTTGCATAGCAACAGTCTTAGGATTGGTGCACCTCTGGGCATGGGCGGCCTGTCCTGAGTTGATTGGTCAGCTGCAGCTGCAGGAAGGTTGCTATGCCTGGAGGCCCTCCCAGGGCAGTTGCTATGCTTTTCACTCCATTGTTACCATAAAGCACATCCCAAGTCCGCCAGCTAACTTCTGATTGGTTCCTTGAAACATGGAGGATGTCTGGTAGCTTATTCCCAGTAATTAAGGAGGTCAGAAGCTCAGCACATGTTGCTGAGTCAGGAGCCTACATCTTGCTGTGTCTTTTCTGCAGCCTGTCATGGTTGCTAAAGCAGGGGCCTGGGTGAGGGTCTGGTCTTTTCAGGAGAAGTTCTCAACCTGAGTGGGAGTGGTGACCTCTTCGGGGCTCAAATGACCCCTTTACAGGGATCACATATCAGATATGCTGTGTATCATAAATTTATATTACAGATCACAACCTTAGCAAATTTAGTTATGAAGTAGCAATGAGATGATTTTATGTCTGGGGGTCACTACAACATAAGGAACTGTAGTCAAGGGTTGCAGCGTTAGGAAAGTTGAGAACCACTAACTTAGAGGCAATTAGTAAACCTATGCATCACCACAGTTGTACTGGCTGGTTTTGTGTGTCAGCTTGATACAAGTTAAGAATCAACAGTGAGGAAGGAGCCTTAGTTGAGTAAAGGCTTCCATGAGATCCAGCTGTTAGGCATTCTCTCAATTCGTGACCAGTGTGGGAGGGCTTATCATATGGTGGGTGGTACCATTCCTGAGTTGGTAGTCCTGGGTTTTATAAGAGAGCAGATTGCACAAGCCAGGGGAAAACAAGCCGTGGTCTCTGCACCAGTTCCTGTGTTGTTTGAATTGTTTCCTGTCCTGACTTCCTTCAGTGATGAACAGCAATGTTGGAGTGTAAGCCAAATAAACCCTTTCCTTCTCAACTTCTTTTTGGTCATGGTGTTTCATAGCCTAAATAGAAACTGGAACTCAGGCAAATTGGCACCAGCACAGTGGGGTATTGCTGTGACAGATCTGACCCTATTTTGGGGAGATTTGTGGAACGACCGTGGGCTAGAAGAGCCATTGAGTGTTAAGAGCTCTGTGGGATGTTCTGTGGAAACTTGGAAGAATGTTTAGAGCAGTGCAGAAGATGGAGGCCTGGATCATGAAGTTTAAGGACTGTATTGGGGTCATTTGTTATTTTGAATTAAGATTCTGTGGTTCTGGTTAGCTGGGGCTGAAGAATCAGCTGTCATGAACAAGATGCCAGAACTGCTCAAGTCAAACCTTTGCTTTTTGCTGAGGTACTTGATGCTGGCCTGCTGAAGCTAAGAAATTAACATGTTGTTAAGAAGAGGTCAACATCCCTGATGTGAAATCTTCTGTAAAGTACTTCCTAAGAGCACAGACAAGCACTGTTCCAGAAGCAGCCAAGGTTGTATCATGTGCTGGCAGCAGGACTTGGTAATGTGTAAGAGTCACCCAGCTGGTGCTGGTTTTGAAGGCACGGATGGGTCATGGAGAGCAGCTGAAGCTTGGCATTGTAAGGGGCAGGAGAGGCCATTGGTGATGGTGCAGCCTCAGTGGCAGTTGAAGGCCCAGAACTGAAGAAGTCATGCAAAGATGAGGCTTGGAACCATGAAGAAAGCCTATGAGAAGCTATTGGTGAAAGTGTCGCTCAATTCCAGCAAAAGACCCCAGCATTCTGGAAATGCTAGTACCACGGGATGACCACCGTGAGCAGCAGTGGTGGAGTAGAGACAGCTGGAGCCTAGAAGACAAGCTGTGTGCTGCACAGGGCAGAGGCAGAGAAGGAACCCAAGCCTTTTGTAGGAGTCCAGAAGATGGTGAGTGAATCCCAGATATTTGAGTTATTTATGGTCGTTGAGTTATTTATGCTGAGCTATTTACACTGTTGAAATTTGATTTTGTGTGGTTCAGATAGTGATGGAGCCCTCGTTCTTCCCTCTTGAAGACAGTATTTAATTTTGATTTTTAAAGGAGCCCACAGCTGAAAGACTTGAACTTTTAAAATGATTGGGTATTTTTTTTTTTGGTTTTTCGAGACAGGGCTTCTCTGTATTATCTTGGAAGCTGTCCTGGAACTCGCTTTGTAGACCAGGCTGGCCTCGAACTAACAGAGATCCACCTGCCTCTGCCTCCCGAGTGCTGGGATTAAAGGCGTGTGCCACCAACGCCCGGCGTGATTAGGTATTTTAAAGAGACTGAAATTCAATGTGGTTTAATTTGTAAAGACTGTGGGACTTTAACAATTACGATATTGATGTGAGATCTTTGGGGATAAATAAGAAAGGAAGAGTTGTAGCTTTATAGGGATAGGTTTGTGTGTCAAGTTGTCAAGGGGTCAGTTGTACTGACTGGCTTTGTCATCGGGGAGAAAGGAGCCTCAGCTGAGGAAATGCCTCCATGAGATCCAGCTGTAAAGCATTTTCTCAATAAGTGATCAATGGGGGAGGGCCCAGCCCATGGTGGGTGGTGCCATACCTGAGCTGGTAGTTCTGGGTTCTATAAGAAAGTAAGCTGAGCAAGCCATGGGAAACAAGTGAGTAAGCAGCACTTCTCCATGGCCTCTGCGTCAGTTCCTGCCTCTAGGATCCTGCCCTGTTTGAGTCCCTGTCATGACTTCCTTCAGTGATGAACAGAGACATGGAAGTGCAACCCAAAATAAACCCTTTCCTCCCCAACTTGCTTTTTGGTCCTGGTGTTTCATACGACAATAGTCTTTGCTCAAATGTAACAGAACTTGCTGTTTTTAATGGCCTCAAAGAATACATAGATACATAGACTCAATTTACCTGCACCTTAATTATCAGTGAAGTTTGTGTCTTCAAAGGCAGATTGTAAAATTTACAGAGCAGAGCAAAACGACCAGTAGCAGCTAAAAGTTCTTTTAAGAAGAAAAAGATGAGGGAATAAAGCCTTGTAACTAAACAAGGAGGTGTTTATGCAGAGAGATTAAACCATTCAGGAAGCTCAATGCAGCCCAAGACTGGCCTTGCACATGAGTGGGAAAAGCAGGGTCAGCCCATGAATGGTTCTGGGAAGCCTGATTATTCATAAGAAAATAACTAAATCCAGCTTCTTCATAATGCACATAATGAAATACCAGGAAAAATTAATATCTATATTTGAAAAAGAAAAAAGTGTTTAAAATAGAAGGGTTTAATATAGAAGCATTTTATAATTTTGAGGTAGAAAGAGATTTCTTATATAAAATACAAAATTAGTATCCATAAATGTTTGACGAATTAGATTTTGTTAAAATTAAGAACTTCTTTGCACTTTTATGGTCACATCTAGTATTCAAATTGTATTTATAAAATTATGAAAATACATAAAATAGTGACTTAAAATAGATGGTAGATACGAGCGAAAATGCAAATGTCTAGGAGGTTTATGTAAAAGTGTGCTGTCTCCTTAGCCATCTTAGAACTTATTTAGTGAGTGCAGGGGCATCGGCTATTTAACTGTAGGTTGTAAACTTATTTTCCAGAAGAGAAGAATATCATTAACAAATCATGTTTTCCCATAAGAGAATAGCAATAGCTTCACGCTGGAAAAACCTATTAATGAAATCCATCCTACAGCAAGACACACAGAACAGTGTGTTTAACAATACTGTGTGATGCCTGGTAAAGAAGATGATTAGCAATGGCGGTGTCTGGCTTGAGTTTATGCAGATCTTACATATGCTATCACAGTCTCTGAGTTCACATGTGCATCCATCCTGTTGTAGCTGAACAGTGCTCTTGCTCTGTCCACTTCCTCTTCTACAGAGATGCCTTAGCTTGAGGAGAGGGTTTGATAAAGGCATTCTCTTTAGGGCCAAGTGCTCCAAAGTCTCTCACTCTTGGAACATGGTTCAGTTGTGGGTCTCTTCATTAATTCTCATCCACTGAAAGAAAGATCTTTAATGAGAGTTGAGTGATGCTCTGATCTCTGGGTACAGCAATATGTCACTAGGAATTATGATTGCTATGCTTATTTAACAAAATAATAGTAGGTTTTTTCCCCTAGGGCCTGTGACTTATGTAGTCTTGGCTTCTTGGTCTCATTTACAGTGTCAAATATGGGGTTCCATATAATGGTTTTATCTCATGCACAGTTACATCTTATAGCCCAGCAAAAAGTGTTTGGTTATTTGTATAATATTTGTGCCACTACTGTGCCAGTGATGTTGCAGTCTGGTTGCTATTATAGCTCCGTAGATTTGCAGATGGGTGAGACTGATTACTTTTTCTCTTTGGTAGTGTATATAGAGCCTTCCCAACACTAAAAATCCTAATCACTAAGGGTGAAGCTTCTAGTTGAGTACCAGCTCTATATCAGCCCATTTGATGTTTGATGTCATAAGTATGCAGTAACTTCAGCAATGGAGTCAGGTTGTGAATGATAACCAATAGCCTTAACACTATTCTGTGATGTTTCAGATGGTCCGTTAAACATACACAGCTTTGTAAGACAGACCATCAGTGCTTTATCATTGCCCTTGCCCTAGGCTGCAGGTGGGCACCAAGTCACAATACATGTGGATGTTTTTGTCAGTATCTGCCTGGACTTGTCAGTCAGTCTCTGTTTTGTAAACTGGAGGAGTCAATTTCTTTGCTAATTTCTTTCAAAGAACTACTGAATGTTGAGTTCTATGGAATAGTAGCAGATCAACAGTTCAGCATTCTTGCCCATTAGAGGAACAATTTGGAGTCACTGAAAAGTCCCATCAGAATTATTGCCAGCGGTAATTAATGGATACACCATGCAGGGGCATTCCTCTTTTTTCCACCTCACTCTCCTGACATCTTACTGAGTTTCCCAGAGTAAGTTTCTAAGTAAGGTCAGGCACACGTGTCTTTGTCTCAAAATCTGGATTTTGCAGAATATAATCTAAACTATGTTACGATTCAGCACATCCACCCATTGATAAACACCCACTGAAAAGCTTATGTGAACAGTATTGGGGAGGTAGAGGCAGGAGGATCAGGAGTTTAAGGCAGTCTTGACAGCTTAATGAATTTGAGGTCATCCTGGGTCACAGAAAGCACCCCTCGAAAAAACAAAAACAAAACAGAACAGAAACCAATAACAACAACAAAAACAGAAAGCAAAAGAAAAAGGGAAAATTTTCTTCACCCATACCAAAGGAAAAAGAAAATCTGATATGGTTTACAGGAGAATGTTAAAAGAAAATGTCCACGAACAACTTTCAGTAGAAGAATGGCTGTAGTTGTTTGAATGAGAATCTTCTCCATTGCTAATATCTTTGAATGCTTGTCTGCAGTTGATAGACTGTTTGGGAAGGAATTGGGGGTGTGGTCTTGGAGGTGTGGCGTTGTTGGAGGAGGTGTGGCGTTGTTGGAGGAGGTGTGGCCTTGTTGGAGGAGGTGTGGCCTTGTTGGAGGAGGTGTGGCCTTGTTGGAGGAGGTGTGGCCTTGTTGGAGGAGGTGTGGCCTTGTTGGAGGAGGTGTGGCCTTGTTGGAGGAGGTGTGGCCTTGTTGGAGGAGGTGTGGCCTTGTTGGAGGAGGTGTGGCCTTGTTAGAGGAGGTGTGGCCTTGTTAGAGGAGGTGTGTCGGTAGGTTGGGGTTGAGTCTAGGAAAGCTCAAGCTTTTCCCAGTTAGGTCTTTCTTACTGCCTTGTGATTATCATAATTTGTAAGCTCTCAGCTACTGCTCTAGCACCGTTTCTACCAGCCCACCATGATAGTCATAGACTAAGCTTCTGTAGACATGAGCCTCAAACCAAATGCTTTCTTTCATTAGTTGCCTCGGTTGTGGTGTTTTATCTGGGCGATAGAAAAATCACTAACACAGTAGTTGGGTAACAATGGTTTTAGTTAGTGCTGTGCATGAGTAGATAATAAGTGGTCTTACAGGTATTCAAGTTTTCAAAATATAATGTTCACCAGAGAGTTTGAGAATCCATACAGTAGTTTTACTAAATTTAAAAACATGTAAAATATTTATTAGCATGAATTGATAAATACATATATTAAATCAATATTAAAAATATTTAAGCAAGGGGATGCAAATGCAGCAACATTTATTTCAGTAGTTACTTCTGAGAAGGAAGCAAAGGAGGGTTTGTTTATGTTACATATCTTGGTGAGGTGGTAGGTCCATGGGCACTTGGGGGTAACATCATGCTTCATGGCTAATATGTTTATTAATGAAAAGTGAGAAAAATAACTGACTTGTCAAAGACAATACAAATATTTACTAAATCATGTTTTATGCTGTGAAATGTGCATGATATTATATGCCACAGTGCATTAATTAGTTGATTATCATACCCAACAGTTTTACATATTTTCAGAAGACATTTTTGGTTCATGGCTTCATATTGAAAATATGCAACATTTATGAAGATACCCTCCATGGAAAACTCTGCAGTAAACATTTCCACTGATTTCATAAGTCTCTTTGAATAGCATTCAACACAATGTCATAGAATATCCAGATCAAGAGACATACTTAGTAAACACTCTGTAAGTGATAATGTGTCCTCTATGTTCAAATAAGTGACTTTTAGAATTATTTCCCTTAATGCAATCCTGTCTTACCTTGGGAAGTAGGCAGGAGTTTCACAGTGGTAAGCACTAAGATTTTATACGCTTAGATTCCAGGTAAACCGTGAAGAACACAACCACCTAATGAGACGCACATCTTGACATTGTTTTTCTTTTTGATCTGCTTAAAAGTATATGGTGCTGCAGTAAGTACTTGTGTGCATGTATTGTATGTTCTTTTACAATGGTGATAAATTACTAAGTCATAGTCTATGAAAAGAATTGGTCTAAATTTCTAAGTATAAATCAATGCTTAAACATGCAGCTGTGTGTGTGTGTGTGTGTGTGTGTGTGTTGAAACAAGCATAGTGTATGGAAGGGGGTAAACTGGGTTTCATTTGTTATCTGCTGCCAAAATACTGTTGCTAATCACAAAAAATTTGAGCAAATTGGTAAGGGAAATAAGAAACACCTGGCTTGAAGCATTCGTCTTAAAATGATTAGATAGAAAGTACACAAAGTAAGGCAATGGAGTCTGAACATCTTCTTAGATAACTCTGTTGTTCATGTACACATAATTCATTCAGAATGAGTCAGCAAGGAATTAAGGTGGACTGGAAGTCTTGCCTTTGTGACTTTAAGATCTTTGGAGCCAAGAGTGGCTGGGAAGGACAGACACCCTACTTTGACCTTGAAAATGCAGATCTTCCTCTCATTTCTTTAGGGATGAGAAAATATATGAGAAATATGCACATCCACTTTGCTAATGCACACCCAGTGATGAGACTTCACGGGGTGGATGAGAATAACTTCCCAGTTTCTTCCTTTGAATTCCAGATGTGAATAGATATCCCTTATTTCTGTTCAAGCAAGGGGGAGCTGGGATCTACTGATTTCTACTGTGTTTGTGAGATTCCCATAAATTACTTTTCATGTTAGAAAGGAAAGATGAAACAGAAGGATTGTTTTGAGGCGGAGTATCTTTAACATGCCATATCTGTGCTGTGACAAGTTTGGATCGTGGAGAGAGAAATGACACCAACTGTGTGCTTATATCATAACAGGTGCTATAAGACAATGACTAAACTTCTTTCCCATTTCTAATACAGTTTCGTAAAAATAGGAATCTTGAAGCAGCATGTTATTAATAAGGGTATCTTGCATTTGTATAAAACTTTGTAATTTATGGGAAAGCTGTTGTCTATGGGGGGAAGAATACTACCGTTTTTCTGATGCGAACTGATGGCTCGTGAGAGTCAGGATCATGAAGGTTTTAAGCATTAACAGTGCACTCATGATATATTTATCACAGTGCTCTTATTCCATATTTCAGATGAGGAAACAGAGATATCAGAGAATGCAGATGGTTCATTGGAAGTTCCACCTGGGAAGTGTGGAAAGTGGGCTTCCAATTCGAATTCATGTAGATGGCCACTAAAGCTACTAGGTTGCTGTTAAGCCACTTAATATCTGCAACTTACAAAGTGGCTACCCTATAGGGGCTTATTGTCTGGGGCTCTGTACTTGGCTTCTCAAAGAGCCAAGAAAATTGACTCCCTCTGTTCTGTGCATGTCTGCAGTAAATGGATTAATAAAAACCCCAATTACAAGGCCTGAAGTATCCCTTATTTTCAGTTTTGCAGATGAGACTCCAGTCTTTGGACAAGATCAATAGCTTGTAATAAACTCATTCTAACCAGATAAAAACACACAATAGTAGAAACAGAGCCCTCACAAATTTGGCCCAAGGGAGGGAAAATCCCACAGTACAGAAATAAGTGGGCAAAACCTTTTGCTGAGAATACTGAAGAATTTGAGAGCAATGGAATACAATGTTCCAATGTAAATAATATTTAAAAATTGATTCCTAAAACTTAAAATACCAAGCATTGCTATTTCAGAAGTTGTACCTCTAATCTTGACTGTAGTGAACTTACTAGCATATACTACAGTGCTTAGCAATAGTATTAATTAGATTGATCTTAAGAAGGCCTCAGCTGCTTGCCCAACCACTATCCATGTTCAGTTAATACAATTGAAAGGCCACAAAAAATGGGGGAAGGTGTGGATTTAATGCGTAATGCCTCTCATAGGCTCCTGTGTTTAAGCACCTGCTCTCTAGCGGGTGGCTCTGCTTAAGGTGGTTCTATGATCTTTAAGAGGAGCTTCACCAAAGGACGTGGACCATGGATGACAGGCCTTGACACTTTTTAGCCTTGCTCTGCTTCCTATTTCCTGGTTACTTCCTGTGTACGAATGTACTGTGGTTGGCCAGCTTCCTGCGGCCACTTCTTTCCAGCCTTGTTGGAAGGTTGCTCTGGAACTAACAGCCAGAATAAATTCCAAGTCCCTTAAATTGTTCCCTGTATGGCATTTGTTCCTAGTCATAAGTAAAGTAACTATAACACATGAGAATATCTTTTTTTCAAAAGCCTCTTCCAGGAAAATAGGATATTTTTGGAGAAAGCCTGCCACAATGTCTGTGTACTTGGCGATGTGTTTGGTCTTCCTAGTCACCTTCCCTTTTCTTTTATCTCTTGGATTTACTTAGCAAAGAGTATTCTAGAAAGTGTCTTGGCTCTGATGCTAAATTATTCTCGTCAGCGTTTGCCTTAATTTAACCCTAGGATATACAAGACAGATACGCTGAATTCACATAAGTACCTGAAGGTTACCTGCTTCGCCAAGGATGTGTGGCATCTTGAGAGGAAGTGTTGACATGCCACATTGCTTACGCATCTGATGAGCCAGGCTTCGATGGCAGAAGATAGAATGCTATGAAATGAAAGCGACAGGGACCCTAGAGGCTGAAGAGTGACCTAGAAATCTTAATATTAGCCATCATAGCTGTGGCTGAATTCAAGTTTACAGCAGCAGGAGTGAAATTATGGTACAAATTACCATGCAAGGCCCAGGAAATTATTCTCTGCTGCATGGTTATTAGCCGATAGATACATAAATAACACTCTAGTACTGATTGACAAAATGGGAGTGACCTAAAAGCTAAAAGGGGCACCATGCAAATAGTAGCGTGTAATCACTAGGCATTTTGAATCTGAAATGGGGTTTGTCACAGTGGGGAGATCTAATGCGATCTGCTCAAGCTATCATCACTAAAGCGTTTTGTTGGGAGTCTTTAATCCCAAGGAACTCGCCACCCAATGATACATATTTCTGTTAGTTTTTATTTCTGAAAAAGACAACTGATGTCTGAAGGATGTGTTTGTATCAGAGATGTTTACAAATATGATATGTTGGCAAGGTGAGAGCAGTTCCCATCACAGTTTGCCATCTTTTAGGCTTAGTAATTTCCTAGATTTTATGAAATGGGGTTCTAATAACAGATGCTTATCCATTTCTTCTGCTGTCCCAGTTAGAAATACAAGGTACTAGTCAGTCATGAAGGTAATGTTTACACAATGGATGATACTGTGTCTTTTCATTTGCTGTTAACCTCCGGGTTCTTTGCTAGCTGACAGAGTCCTCTGCCTCCAGACAGCTTTAGAGTCCAATGGCCCAATGAACTGGGGTAGGCGATGGGACCAGTGTTAACTTTGGAATATCATACCACTGGGCATCAAAGACAACTTCTTGAAAAAGTGCCCAGCCAGTGCCATTTATCAATTTAGATTCTTCAGGTTATCGATTCTCAATATAATCCAGTAATATCAGAACTGTTGTCTGTCTCTTATCTGGCCCCTGAATTTCATCATTATATTACTGTTTGTGTTTGTCAACGATCAAGTGTTTGGGTACTCAGACAATGTTAAATATCCTACCTGCTGACTCTGTATTCCCAAAGCCTTAGAAATACAGGATTGCAGACCATCTACAGAGCATCTGAAGAGGTGCAGCTAGGAAGCAGTGTGTCAAGAATGAGTCCTGTGGCCCAGGGAGACATTGGTCCAAGCAGCACTTCTGGAACGGCGTTCTCGGAGAGAAAATACACTCATTGTGCAAGAGCTCAGGCCTGGGTCTCATGGCCTGCCCCTGCAGGAACAAGAGCAATAGGAAATAAATGGTTCGTTAATTTGTCAAAAATGGGGAGCTTTGGAAAGGTCAAAATTACCAGCTGTATCTACTATAATAAAATATTAATCTTGGATTTAAAACTTATCTGAAGGTCAAAGCGTGCCATAAAATCATGTTTATTGAGTCTTTCTCAAAGCTCCTGACTGCAGATTATCTTCCGCGGCCTAGTCAACTGTTTCTTTCTTGAAGACAAGCAAATCTGGAAGCAAGGGGGGGATTATGCTGAATTCAATGGTATGCTTACCCACAAGGCACGAGAGAACTAGGAAGGTGGGATATGGGGGCCTGTCCTAGGTCCAGGAGTTTTGATAAGGATATCGATTTGGCAAATCCACCTCAGTGCTTTGAAAGAAATACCATGTATTTGTTAATACGTGTATATGGTCGGTGTGTGTACAGAGAGAGAGGGGGGAGAGAGAGAGAGAGAGGGAGAGAGAGAGACAGAGAGAGGGGGGGGTTCTGTGTGGATTTATTCAACTGTGTATGCACATAGAGACCCAAATAGAATGCTGGGTTTTCTGCTACATCATTCTCCTTCTTATGTTTTTAAGTCAGGGTCTCTCGCTGACCCTGGAGCTAGACATGCAACCAGACCCAGGCATCTTCTATCTCTACCTCCTAGAGTGCTGGGGTTATACGCAAGTGTGTGGCTGTACCAGGCTATTTAACTGGGGTCTGGAATCTGAATTCAGGTTCTCATGCCCAACAATCCTTTCCACTGAGTCGTCTCATGCGTCTCATGCCCTAGGTTTTTGTCCCCATTCAGATGTGTGGAGTGCTGAAGGAACCCGTGAGGCTTCTTGGCTAACTAAGATTTTAATAAGTTATCACTTTGGCTTTGCTTTACATCCCTCATGCTCCTCTGCATCACTCCTATTATTTTATATCCCTCACCAACAAGTTGTCCTTGCAACAGAAGGTTGAAATGCATTTTCTTGGAACATTATAACTTATTAATGTCAACTATCCTCCGTCTCCTAGAAAGGTTCAATTTGTGGTTGAGAAGGACACAATTTACTGCAAGTTCAGGAAACACATAATGATAGATAATGCTTCCGAGGACAATTGGGGAGCCATATTTTGCCCCTGGAGTACTATGTATCTGACATAATGACACACAGGCTGGGCTGGGTACACTTTGGGCTTTGAAATGTTGGGCTTGGTTATTTAATGTTAAAACATGGGTTTACAGAAAAACAAACTTTAATTCCGATGCTAAAAGTAATTCACTACACATGAGAAACATTTGAAGACCCCTTGGCTCCCCCAACACTCCTGCGTGTTTTGAGTTTCTTCTTCTTTGTTTTTGTTTTTGCTTTTTGAGACAGGGTTTCTCCATATTGCTTTGGAGCCTGTCCTGGAACTTGCTTTGTAGACCAGGCTGGCTTCAGACTCGTGGAGATCAGCCTGCCACTGCCTCTTGAATACTGGGTTTAAAAGTGTGTGCCACCACTGCCCGGCTTCTTCTTTGTTTTAATACCCCACTCCTATCAAATACTCAGTGCCTCCATTCTTCTGTGGTCACTTCAGGTTCCTACCATATTAAACAAGATCTTCAAGGTTTGTGAATCTTTTTTTTTCTACCTCTTCCACAAAGTAAGTGGAAGTCATCAGTGATGACAGCCTAAGACTTACTCATAAACTTGGTCTTCTCCCTGATCATGACAGAATCACTAGCCTGTATTTAGTCAGCACACTCTTGGTGTGAAGCAGTAGAGGACTATTGATCATGGTCAAACACAAACTCCTTCCTAAGAGGTAACAGCTTAGAAACGGGCATTGCCTTTACAATTCACTCTTCATGATACGGTGAGAACATGTTGGAACTTTTGAGACCCTATTGAACAAACTGAAGGACCCCAAGTTAGATAAAGTAGATTGCAGAAATTCGAACCTCTAAGTTTCATGAATTTTCCTCACTCTATTTCTGTACAAACATTTCCATCTGGTGTATTTTATTTCACAATCCCTAAAACTTGAGTATATGGGTCATGAAGTGGAGTGTTTGTAGCAGCCCTTATATCTTAGTTTTACTTACTTGCATATGTATATATATATATATATATATATATATATAAATGTCATAATTGTCACACTGCCTGTTTTTAAAAGGAAGAAAATAAGTAATATCAAAAAATCTGGTTATGTCTGTGTGTGTATGAGAGAGACAGAGAGAAGAATAAACAGAGACAGAGAGCAAAAGTGAGAGTGTGTAAGAGTGAGTTACCTTAAATGCCCTTTCCCTATAAAGTGATTAATGACTACCTTATATGACATCCTAGAGCCTTCATCCAGTAGCAGATGGAAGCACAAGCAGACACCCACAGCTGAGCACTGACCCAAACTCCTAGAATCCAGTTGCAGAGAGAGAGGAGTGATGAGCAAAGGGGTCAAGACCAGGCTGGAGAAACACACAGAAACAGCTGACCTGAACAAGGGGGAGCTCATGGACCCCAGATTGATAGCTGGGAAATCAGCATAGGATCAAACCAAACCCCCTGCCTGAATGTGGGTGTCAGTTAGGAGAACTGGGCAGACTATTGGGCCTCTGGTAGTGAATCAGTATTTATCTCTAGTGTACAAATGGCCTTGGGACCCCATTCCACATTGAGGAATACTCTGTCAGCCTAGACACATGGGGTAGGGCCTAGGCCCTGCTTTAAATGACATGATAGACTTTGATGATCCACCATAGAAGGTTTCACCCTCCCTGGGGAGCTGAAAGGGGATGGAATAGGGGACTGGTGGGGGGCAGGGGAAGAGGGGAGGGAGAGAGAACTGGGATTGACATGTAAAACAAGCTTGTTTCTAATTTAAATTAAAAAAGAGAAAAAATGGGGGGTCCTTTGCTCCCACCCTTTCTGGTCTTAGCCCATACATTCTTGCTGCTGGTTCACAATCTTCTCATTTTAAACCTTGATTACTGACTTCTTGTTTTAGAGGATGACAGGAAGAATTTCTTCCTCCCATTACCTGCTGTTTCCTCTAACAGTTATCATTACTATTTTTTTGTTTGAAATGTCTTCAAGATTCTATTGATTTTATCCATGAAACATTGCTCATTGTAGACTACTGCTTTTCCCCCCACTCCCTGTCTGACTCTTCTTCCTCTTCCCTTTCTCCCTGGTCCTCCTAGTTCTATTTCCTTCCTCTCCATTTTCCTCCTTCCTGTGAAGTCTTCTGACTCTTCATTGACAGTTGCTTGTCATTTTTATATTTTGTCACACAATGGAAATCTTTATTGTGTATATCTGACAAACGATGAGTAGATCTGATAAGTGATGGGTACCATTTTTCTCTTGAGTATTCGTAGAAACAGTGAATAGCTTGTTTCTCATAAAATGTACCAACATGTTCATTCTTTCTATTCCAGCACTAGTGTGTGTTTGTAACTCTCTTCTCCCTGGATGGAGTGTGTCCTTGAATCATCATAGGATTTTTTCAGTTTAGTCTCTTTCCATGCTGGAACCTATCCCAATCCATGATGATTTTGATCGGCATTCAGATTGGGAAATGAGGAGGTAGCTGAAGAAGCCTGCTCACCTGGACAAAGCTGTGCTCTAGTGTAAATACATATATATTTATCTATATACACTGAGGTGTTTTTTTTGTAGGCATGAAATGCCAGTTTCTATGGGTCTATTCTGGGACAATTCAGTTTCCCCCACTACAGAAACTCCCACAGGACTGTCATTTCTCATTGTGATCTCTTGAAAGTTCAAAAATCCATTTAGAGCATAAATTGATGGGCTTCTTCAAGGTGCAGGACATGCTTATATTATTGTCAGCTGTGTGGTGGATCTCTCTGAGACCAGAGGGTTCCACATGCGGGTATTCAGGCAATCCCTCTTCGTGTCCCAAGACATGTGATTCTCCCAACATGTGACTTTCTCCCTGGCCTGGGAGAGTGGGTTGCTTTGAATCTGCATGCAAATCATTTATCCTCAGGGAACCCATTTTCCCACCTCAAAATTTGGTATTTCTCTAAGTTGCTTGTCTCCTCACCCATTCTCTTAGTTCCCTTCGGGTTTATAAGGCAAGAAAGAAAAGGAATGGAAACTCTCTACTTTGTGTTATTGGCATTCCAAAGAAAAGCATACATGGAGCCCTACATATGAGGCCCTTTCCTGGCAACCTGAGTATTGGTATGTAACTCCCGGGACACCCTGGAGTCAGAGCTGCTGATGGCACCTTCTTGAGATAGGATTGTACTGATTGGTGTTGCAGTCAGTGGTGGAATAGTTGTCAGCAGCATGGTGTGGAATTATGCACCATCATTAAATTGTACATTAAGCTTGTATTCATTGGAGCTTTTAAGGACTAAGGTAAAGTTTGAAGTCCTTACTGAGAGGAAGTTGTACACACACACACACACACACACACACACACACACGTATTAGATTTGGAATTATTTTCATTTAAGGATACTGTGGAATCACAAGACAGTCTATTTAAGGAAGAAAATAGGTTACCACCTACAAGTTCTAATTAATTAATGCAAATGGCAATCATCTCTTACACTGTAAAATTAAAAATGACACAAATAACAGGAAACAGAATATTCTCTTCATTTGTAAATAAAGGAAGTAAAGCATGATTGTATATTATAAATATGTATATATATATATAATTGTATATGCCTATTGACATTCCTGGTCAATTTCAAATATTAGATTTGCCAAGGGAGTCTCCCTATTATAGTTCATCATTTAAAGAGGAAAATCTTATTTATGTAAACTGAAAGTAAATATAAGACTGGCTCTTTGATCTGTTTTATGAACATTCTGACTGGAAAATTTTTTTCTTGGTCCGTAAGAGAGAGAAGGGGGGAGGAAGGCAAGGGGGAAGGAAGTAGGGAGGGAGGAAGAGGAAGAGAGGGAGGGGAGGGTGAACCAAATCCTTACAAACTAAATGATGATCTTCAAGCTCCTTTCCACTCTGCAATTTTATCATTGTAGCTCTCTTACATTGCTCTGTCTCTCCTCATCTGTAAAATTGCTATAATAATACCTGAGTGCAGAGAATTATGAGTGTCAAAAATTAGGTGCTGTGTGAGGAACCATAAATTTCTCTTGATATATGAT